ATAAGTGTGTGACACGATTAATGGTATCTAATTCAAACAGACACTATCATGTCAGAAAGACCAAAGCCCTCCGGTGCCCAGGGAGGAAAAGGAGGAAGAGAAGAGGAGGAAAAACGGGAAAAAGACAGAGGTAATAATCACTAATTAGAGTAATTACCGTGTAACTGTCTGTGGTCGGTGGAGCAGAGTGTTACTGGCTTACCTTGGATAATTCGGCATTTGTCAATTTTAATAAATAGCTAGAATTAATGTCAGTTACTCCCAAACATAAATTCATTAGGGAAAATTGGAAATACTTTTCAGGTGTTTGAAAATGGGAATAACGTATGACATAATTTTCGGAAATACACTTTATCTTTAAAGTTCAATTCAACTCAAGTTTATTTGTATACCACTTTTTCACAGCATTACATTGTTTCAAAGCGCTTTACATTCTCCCTGCCCAAAGCCCCCAGTGAGCAGCCAAAGGTGACAGTGACAAGGAAAAGCTCTCTAGAAGGAAGAAACCTTGGGAGGGACCAGACTCAGAGGGGGAACCTAAATTGAAATGAATACCGTATATCAGGGCCAACCCATGGCATAGGCAGTGTAGGCAAAGGCTGTCCAATCAGAAGGGGTAGGAAAGGATGGGAAAAAATGATAAAATGTCATTTTTAATTTATTGATTTACTAATAGTATTTTACATTACTATTTTGAAATAATCAAAAGCTTTGCACTTACCAGCCAGTTTCACTTTGCCTCAAGCAGGGGGCGCCGGTGGTCATGCTTTCTTAGGGCTCCACATCAGCTAGGACCGGAACTGCTGTACAGATATCTGGGGCTTCAGTAAGAATATGTACGATGTGAAATTTAAAGATTAATTTTAACACAATGAAACAGTAAAAAGTGTTTGTGTGTAGGGGGGTATGTATACTGACAAAAACAACCAGTTTTTTTAAAGTGTGGGGACCATTTCTCAGGTCCCCACAAACATCTGTAAATCGATTAAAAAACTAAAAATGCCAAAAGTCTCGTATTTTGTTTGGTAACTTATGGTTAAGGTTAGGGCTGGGTAGGGGTTAAGGTCGTCATGTTGGGATTAATGTTGTGTGTTTTAATCCTCCTACCTCACTGGTCAGGATCATGTTGAGACTTAGTGCATTTCCCTCTCATTTTTCTTCAGGGGAGCTCATGTCCAGCACGATCAAATGTAACCTGAAGCAGAAATTTGAGCGTGTATTTGAAGGGAAAGCTAAGGGAGGACAGCCAACACTTCTCAGTGAGATTTACACAGAACTCTACATAACTGAAGGTGGGACTGGAGGAGTCAATGATGAACATGAAGTGAGACAGACTGAAACAGCAGCCAATAAAAGGCGAACAGAAGATACTACAGTCAAGTGCAATGATATATTTAAACCCTTATGTGGGCGTGAGACACCTA